GGTTATTTCAGACAAAATGCAACACTTCCTCAAAGAGCCAGAGTATACTGGTTTATAAAACTTTCTCAGTAGAGTGCCATCTGAAGGTATAAGGAGCTAATTGCCAACTGCAGGTTGTTGTTATTTGGGAGGTTTGGGGTCTTATCCTGAATTAATAATATGCAAGAGGGAGGTCTGCAGGGAACTCTGTTTGCAGGTTCATGGTAGTAAATTACTGAGTGAATATCTCTGTCATAAAACCTCAAGCAGTGTTTGGAGCTTTAATATATTTCAAATATGCTACCTTAGTGTGAGAGGTTAGGCTTTATTCCTATGTCCAGGGGTTAGCATATCATGGCCTTCATACATGAGTGTAAGAGCCATAAGAAGAAAGGAGATTAATGTTATGCAGTCATAAGAAAGAATATCACTGACATGTTTTTATTTACCTTTGTTAACAAATGTTATCCATCTTGTCTTGAGAGGTACTGGCTAGATACAGTCGGGCTCACCTCCACGCACAGCCTGGGCACTGGAACCTTACTCCTCGAGAGAGGCTGGACTCTCTACTACTCTGGAGTTGCCCGCGGTGAGAGGCAGCGGGCTGGTGTGGGCTTGCTCATAGCTCCCCAGCTTAGCCGCCATGTGTTGGAGTTTACCCCGGTGAACAAGAGGGTCATTTCCCTGCACCTTCGGGTCGGGGATAGATCTCTCACTGCCGTTTGTGCCTATGGGCCGAATGGCAGTGCCTTCTTGGAGTCCCTGGGAGGGGTGCTGGAATATGCCCCGACTGGGGACTCCGTTGTTCTACTGGGGGACTTCAACGCTCACGTGGGCAGCGACAGTAATACCTGGAGGGGTGTGATTGGAAGGAACGGCCCCCCCGATCTGAACCCGAGTGGTGTTTTGTTATTGGACTTCTGTGCTAGTCACAGTTTGTCCATAACGAACACCATGTTCAAGCATAAGGGTGTCCATCAGTGCACATGGCACCAGGACACCCAGTGGTGGGCACCGGAAGTAAGGGATGCCATCAAGCTGAAGAAGGAGTCCTTTCGAGCCTGATTGGCTCGTGAGACTCCTGAGGCAGCTGACGGGTACCGGCAGGCCAAGCAGGCTGCAGCCTGGGTGGTTGTGGAAGTAAAACCTCTGGTCTGGGAGGAGTTCGCTGAGGCCATGAAGAGGGACTATTGGTCGGCCTCGAAGAAATTCTGGCAAACCCTACGGCACCTCAGGAGGGGGAAGCAGTGCCCTGCCAAAACTGTTTACAGTGGAGGTGGGCAGCTGTTGACCTC